ATTTGCGTCAGTTTAATACAAATTCCGAGAAACTAAAGAAACTTTGGGATGATTGTGGAATAATTAAATCAGAAAATGAACTAAATAGTTCTTTAAAAGTATTAGGGCTTAACTGGTGTACGAGTAAAGATGTAATTTCCTTGAACATAGACAACTTGTGCGAAACATTAAATAGTTGTAGAAAAACCACAAAAAGAAATATATTAAAGGTGGCTGCTACTATTTTCGATCCAGTAGGTTTCTTGGCGCCATTTGTATTACGTGCAAAATTGAATAATGCAAAACCTTTGGCAGTTGGGTTTAGAATTTGACGATGAAGTTCCAACTGAATGTAAGCAGTTGTGGTCCGAGTGGAGCGGTGAAATTGAAAAGTTAAAGAAATTTGAAATTTCTCGAGAATATTTCCCCGGCAAATTGAATCAAAATAAAGAGATATCGAACTGAACTTCATTTATTTTGTGATGCATCTATTAAAGCGTATGGTTCAGTTGCATATTTTAGGTCAGTTGAAGAAGGACAGGTAGCATTTATTATGGCAAAATCTAGAATTGCGCCAATAAAACAAAAACTCACACTTCCAAGGTTTAGAGTTGCTAGGAGCATTAACATCAGGCAAGACTTGCTAAACATTTAAAAGAGCTGTTTTCAATTCATGAAGAAAATATTTATCTGTGGACTGACAGTATGATAGTGGTTCACTGGATTCATAGTGCTCCTGAACGATGGAAAATGTTTGTAAAAAATCGAGTATCTGAAATACAATCATTAACATGCCCAAATAACTGGAGACATTGTAATGGGAAGTCCAATCCAGCGGACATTTTATCTCGAGGATGTTCAGCCGAATATTTGTTGTCTTCAAGATTATGGCAGTCTGGGCCAGACTGGTTAGTTGAATCAGTGAGTGCTTGGTCTAGTAAATTTATTGTGACAACGGAGTTTTCTGATGCTGAATTAGAGCGCAAAAAGTGTATAAATGATACGACAATACTACCGTCTATTGCAGAAAAATCTAATTCTCTGTTGAATCTTGAAAATTATAGTAAATTAATTAGAGCTATTAGAGTGACTGCATGGATATTTAGGTTTATTCACAATCTGAAAAACAAAACATACAAGAAAACCCGATCCTTGATAGCAGAAGAACTTTTTGCCACAGAATTATATTTGATAAAAGAAGTTCAATATGAACATTTTTCTGATGAAATTAATAGTTTAAAGTCGGGACAGTTGATTTCAAAACACTCAAACATTTATGAACTAAATCCTTTTCTAAGTGAGGAAAGAGTTTTGTTAGTAGGAGGAAGACTACAAAAATCAACTTTAAGTTTTCATGAAAAGCATCCTATAATTATACCTTCAAAAACTCATTTTACAGATCTTCTGGTACGTGATGCACATGAACGAGTTCTTCATACAGGTGTAGCTAGTACTCTCATATTCCTCCGTGAAAAGTATTGGATAATTAGATCCAGACAAAATGTGAAACGTGTTATAAGAAACTATGTACTGTGTCAGCGTTATAACTCCTGACCAATGCGAGTCATAGCATCATTACCTCCATCTAGAATTGAAAAAGCAAACCCTTTTGATGTTATAGGACTAGATTATGCAGGTCTACCTTTTTACGTGAAAAATGATGATGCAAAGTATTATATCATATTATTTACCTATGCTGTAACTAGCACAGTTGTTTATCCTATTATTTACCTGTGCAGTTTAGTCAAGATGAATGCTTCTGCATTCATCTCATGAACTAACAAAAGATCTCACAACTAAATCTTTTCCTACTTGCTTTTCGTCGATTCATATCAAGGAGAGGGTTGTGCTCTTCTAATATACTCAGATAATTTGCGTACATTCAAGGCAGCTGAATGCAGGAGCTCAAAAAGATGTGGCAGGTATTAAGCCATCCCGAATGTAAAGAATTATTATGCCAGCTCAGGAAGATGCAGGTATTAAGCTATCGCGATGTAAACAATTATTATGCCGCAAAGGGTATTCAGTAGAGGTATATCATCGAAAGAGGAGCCTGGTGGAACGGATTTTACGAGAGACTAGTGCGATCCCTCAAAACAATATTAAGAAAAATTCTTGGTTGAACATCACTGCTACCCGAAGAATTGGAAACTGTACTGACTGAAATTGAAGCGATGATAAATCGTCGACCCTTGACTTACATCCAAGATAATGAGCCCCAAGTTCTGTCACCTGTTCATTTTCTGCTAGGGCAGAAACTTGCTAATTTGCATCCTGTCAAATACACTCATGAAGTGTGCAGTACTAAAGAAATTCTTTTAAAACTGCATCTATATCGTGAAAAATTGTTAAATAACTTTTGGAAAATCTTTTATAAAGATTATTTGTTGAATCTGAAATCTGCAAATTGTGTGAACAATCACCGTGCAAAACACGACTTAAGTGTGAACGATATCGTGATTTAACAGGATGAACATTTACCACGTAACATGTGGAGATTAGGAAAGGTTCTCAAAATATTTACCGGTAAAGATGGACTAATTCGCAGTTGTGAATAAAGACTGAAAAAAGGCATTATAAAGAGACCTTTACAATTATTAGTTAAGTTAGAATGCTAAGAGTATTAATATTGTATGATAGTATATTTTCTTACTGAAAATGTAATGTAATGCTACTAATGTTGTATCTATTTTATTTAATTGCTATTTAAAGTACTGTATATTTAATATTTAAAGAAATGTATATATTAGAAAATTTTAAGGTTGTAGAAATGTATAAGTGTATTTAAAATTTTAATTTAATTCTGAAAAAAAAAAAGACAGGTTTCTTTTAATAATTCTAGTATTTTAGTTGAATTATGATAATCTTGATTTTGAAATCATTTGTTTAATATTATCTTGAGTCATATAAATTCTTGATTTAAATCCTGATGCTTGAATAGGAATGCTATGACAATAATTCTTGATGAAATTTACTTGATATTCTTGAAACATATGGTAAGTTTTACATGTTCTTGATATTTCTGTGACATTTCTTGATTACAAAAACTTGAATTTGTATTGAAATGCATAATGATTCTTTAAAATAATTCTTGAAAATGTTGATGTAACACTGATAATCTTGATTGTTCTGAACTACAGTTCAGCCGGGCCCAGTGTGTAAGAAATTTTATGTGGAAATATATTTTAATCGCCAAAGAGGGCGTAAATCTTTCATGATGTATATATACTTCTTGTTCTTGGATCTGGCATCCGCCAGTTGAATGTGTGTTAGACTTGAATAAACTTGGCAGTTTAGAAACCTGATTTGTAGTGTTCATGTATCTTGATGTTATGTGTGATTCGAATTAGTGTTTTTTGAACTAAGATATCTTGCAATTCTTGACAATTAATATAATATTTTATAGTGTGAGCTCAACTTAAAAACTATTAGATTTCGAACCCCAATGAATCATTTCTAATAATCCTATTAAACAGGTAATGGGAACAATAAGAAAGAATAAAACACTATGACAGTTCGTCAGTTTCCTGGAAGATCGGTTACCGAAAATACTGCACGTTTTCGATCGCTTTTCGCACGGGAAACAAGATTTTGCCAAAAAGGTTTCCCTTATCAATTTTGTTGAAGCTATTCGAATAGCGTAAATTCTGTGATGCTTGAAAGCATCGCTTCATAATAGTGACGTGTCATAAATGTGTCGGCATCTTTACGTAAGTCGGCCTGCATTCGAAAAGATAAACATTTTCACAAGAATGCTTGGCATAAACGTGCCTGCACCCTTATGGAGATTAGTTTATAAAACATTCTTCGCAAAGCAGCGGGCATCTTTATACTGGGGCAGCACTATGAAAATGAGGTTTAACTTCCTACTCTGTGAGTAGGGATATTAGGTTATTTCGAAGCAGGAGACATGAAAAATGTGCAATGACCTCGCCAGGATTCGAGCCAGTGACCTCTAAATAGGCGCCGAGTGTGGTGACCATTACGCCACAAAGGCATGCTAAGAAGGTGGGAAAAATACCTTAATAACCGAAATGAAAATTCTACTTGCATAGCAGCATCCTGGCATGAAGGTTCCCTCACCTTTATGAATGTTGCTCTTTAAAATTCGAACCCGGAACTTTGAAACCCGGAACTGATTCGAAACCCGGAGCATTCGAAACCGATTTGCTCCTCTTTTTTAGGCCTAAAAATTTCCATTTATGCAAATTTATATTAAGATACAATGCGTCTATTTTTTATTGTATGCTAATATGCTTAATATTAGAATTATTGTTAATCTATTCATTAAAAACATTGGCTAGAGTGTATTATGGTGAGGCAGATTTTCGTTGAAGATCTTTATAAAATGAGCATTAAGCAATAAAAATATGACTTTAGATACAGATGAGCGATAAAATTAGCACTCGATGAAAGATAAAATGAATAATATAATGAATTTCTTTAGTTTTATTTATCTGCTTTATTCTTTATATTTATGTGACATATTTCCAACTAAACAGAAAAGAAATGTTTTAAAAATACTGTCTCCTTCGAAATGCATAAATCTTTTGCTTAATGAAAGCAAATGTAAGGTTGAGTTTTTTATTTATTTTAAATAAATGTAGTACAAAAGTATATCCATAAAACAGCAATAAGATTCCTTAACGTGAAGGCTCATGAAGAACCATCTTGGACAAACCAATCAATTAGAATAAACTCATCGTATTTTATGATTAAGTTGAAATTACCAGGAGCTTACTGGCTTCGGATAGGGCAGCTAATAAACTCACACGTTCATGAAGAGAAGCTCTGGATTCGAGTCCCAGCGCAGAATGAACTCCTTGGAATGTTATATTCTTATTTATTAGGAATCGTGCCTAAAAATTTATCAATTACTGTCTGACATGAATATAATATATATTTTTTTCTTTTTTTATGGTCTGAAAATTGAATTATCATTAGTGGATGTTTAAAACTGCTCACGTGTAGAAAATCAATCGAAAATAATTTATAAATATGTATATATTTCTTTTATCCAGGGAATCGTGTGATGTCTTCTTATGGATTATCGCCTAAACTCTCTGGTTACAGTTTTGATTACGATCCGGATCTCAATCCAGCCATCATCAACTCGTTTGCTGCTGCTACTAACAGATTTGGTCATACGATAGTTCAAGTAGGTTACGTATTCATGTATCTTTGATTTAATTATCATAATTTAACCGCATGTCTTAATCAGATGTGCCAGCTTTCCCGACTTTCGAACAAATGTCAGCCGATTTACAATTTACTTCTCCTGACCTTCTGTTATGCATAAAAATTTCTCATTATTTTTATATAATTTGAACTAATATTTCGTATTTGCACTTCAGCACGTAATATCTAGGATCTGAAATCTCTTGGTTTCTGTAGAATACATATGAGAGAAAAACCAAGGCCTATTTAATTACTGAAAAATATGGCGCGCCACTGATGTTTTTAAAAGCGTCATGTTTCAGTTCTCCGATGAATCGCTACAAATCTGGTGTATATTAGCAACGAACACAAAGCCAGATCTAGGCTGTTCTTTGCATTTCTCTCGCCGCTAAACAGTGTGTGTTCCAGAAATGCTTCCAGAAATGAATTAAGAGTTTTAAACCTTCTGCCTTAGTTATGTTTGTAAAAGAAATAAAATACATATATTTTTCAAAAATCGGATTCGTCCCCATGTACGTTTTCCGATTTTGTTCGGGGGAACGATCGACGTTTTTAAACATGTTCATTACTAAATGTTTTTCTTTCAGTACATTTTTGTCATTAAATAATTGTTTTTGTCCTGAGGAAAATTCTGATTTCTTAAATAAATCTGACACGTTTGTTTATGGTAGGCTGGAATTTCCAAGTAACTTTGTTATGTATTTATTTGAAATCATTTTGTGTTGAATTGGGTAGAAAGATATAAATACGCAATTTTTATTCTTCAGCTCTGTTTCTTTAATTCTGAGGATCTTAGGCTAGATACTTACCATTATTTATATTTCATTGTAATGAAACTTAAAAGCATGGATTTGAACCAATAACTGCGTATATAAATAACAATAACTAAAGAATTTATTAGTATTTGTATCATGGCGGAAGAATACTGCTAAAGCCAGGTATTTGTTTTTACTTCCATGAACTTTTATTAACATTGAGCATTATTTTTGTTGAAATGTATGCATGATATATGGACAGTTATTGTCACTTTACAAACTCAAAAATGAAACAGCAATAAATACTTAATAATATCCAGCCGGTTCAGAAGTATGTTTTTACCTTTTATGAACATTGACCTATAAAGGAAATATGTAAGTTCAATAACCAAAGCCCAAACTATGGGCTGTAAGCTGCATTATTAGTCATTTGCCTATATTTTTTCTCTCATTTTTCTTGCGCATGAGGTAATTCTTGTATGAAATTTGTTTATGCACTCAGTCGAACTTCTGGGAATTTTGAAACAGCTTTCATATTATGTTTGTTTTTCTCAATAGTTATTTGCATCAGCAGTTTTGTTATTTTGAGCCAAATCATTATTCAAATTGAATATGACATCTAGAGTTTTTTAAATTATATTTCAATTTTAGGATATAAACACACGCACACAGCAGACATAGTGAAAAATGCACACACATATATACCCCTGGCTGACAGTACATATTTTTCACTATTTTGAGAAGGGAGATTAGATTTTGTAAAAAATGTTAGTATAGTATTTTAAACTTGTTCGCTAGAGTAGTCAGAAAGGTCGAAAAGATCAGAACTCCTTAATTATTCTTGCTTAATGTTTTAATTAAGTCTAATTTAAGGATTAAACAATGCATAATTAATTTTTGGTTTGTCTTTCGTGTTTACAAAATTTTTTCAAAAATATATTGATACGATTGATTCAGGATAAGTTTGACTAATTCTTTGATTTATTCGCTAAAAGTTTTCTGTTACAATAGGTTTTTCAACTTCCAAGGTAATGTAATATTTTTCTAGTAAAAATGTTTTTATTTTGTCAAATTAATAAACCTTTTAGTCTAAGCTGCTTAAGCGCTTGAGTTCGTTATTTTATGTTCTAATTATAATTTAATAGGTGTTAATATATATACGATGACTGCGCTGAGAAACGATTGGCGACCTCAAAACTGGGTATTCTAGATTTTGTGTTCTTCCCACAAGTTCATCTGTTTTCCAAATTCGAAATCTTTCCACGTTATATAACTACCTAAAATTAACCAATCACAGCTTAGTTATACTTTATGCACCTACCTCGTATAAATAGCGTATAATATACCTCGTAAATATACTAACTGCATATTCTCTCTCTTTTTCGCCACTTCGCCTGCCTGCTGACAGCGTGTCGCTCAGCCTCTGTAGCTATTCGTCATTATTTAAGATGTAATTAGATACCTAAAATTATGGGGTTTTAGATCTAAAATTATGGGGCTTCGTCTCATTTACGAATTTATCGAAAAGAAAGATTAAAAAGTATGATTGTTGAAAGCAAAGTTTATCAATAGAAATTTTTAAGGATGAATACTTTATTCAACTTCTTGAAATTAAAATTCATTTTTATAGCACTGCCATAATGAATTAACAAATGAATCAATTAGATTAAATGAATTCAATGATGAAATATCTGCAATACGATTACAGCTGTCGAAGACTATTGAATATTCTTAAATACCTAATTAATTTGTATACTTCTTAACAAGGATAAAGTGGAAAACATTTCATAACTTAAAACTGTTTAGCTTAATTAAACTTTTACATACTGTGTGATCCCCTCATCATCTTTGATTAGAGCCAATTGATTTAACTCTGTTATATACTACTAGAAAGCCCGGCGTTCTAGATATTATAAATTGCAATTAAAATGATTTGTGCAAAGGTGACTGCTAATTTAAACTGAATTACCCAGGGCAGGCGGCAAGGTAAGAAAATGCCAACACGCTTAAGCGTTTGGCCCTGAGACTTATGGATGGTCATAGGAAAGGCAAGTTTTATAGGAAATTGTCTACGTCTCAACTGAAACGGCAACCCTGTGCCGTGGCAACTTCACCCCATTGGCTAGTACAGTTACGCAAGCAACCAATAAACTATCGCCGGCAAACAGGCACTTAAGCCGCATATTGTTGCGTGCGTACGGGTTCGTTATGAAATGAATGCACAAGTCCGAGGAAAAATGAACAAAAATTTATTATTATCACAACAAAAATGCTTAAATTTTCTCAAATTATCATGCAGTATTACAATATCTCACGGTAGTTATCTTTTAACTACTCAAATATCCAATAGAACGTAATTCAAAACAGCTAAAGAACGCTAATCCGCGAATTCGCTACAATCAACAAGAGCAGTTTTCTAAACAACAACAAACTAAGCAACTACTACAAACTGAGATGTTTTCCTCCTTTTATAAGATTTTAAAATCACGCGCTAGAATTTTCCAGTACTTTCTCGAAATCAAAAAGAGATATTTATTTATTTAACGCACGCGCTCTTGTATTTTTAATTTTTCCGGCTTAGCTTTCTTTTAATATTCGTCACGCGCTGCACTGCGCGAGAAATAAAACCATTTAATTTATAATTGAACTAACATTAGCTTTTTAAATACCAAATTCGTAACACTGCCCCCTTCCCAAGGACTGCACGTCCCGGGCAGTACAATCCCTGGACAGGAAGCTAAACTTACAACTGTGGCATAAATGCAACTGAGGCATAAACATTACATTACAATATCAAACAATATAAACAATAAATGCAATAACTAACTTAAACAAATCAAATGCTATCAAATACTAAATACAAAACAAATACTAAATACAAATCAAATACTAAATGCAATCAAATACAAATACAAAATACAAATCAAATCAAATACTAAATACAAATCAAATCAAATACACATTTATAAACAAAAAGGACCATGGTCTGATACTATTTACAATTATTTACATTACGTACTATGGCCATAGTAATGAAGCTAACCTGTCGTAATGAACGACTTTAGGTTTAGAGTTCGAAGACTTACGAATCCGAACCACGACGTCATTCAGCCTGTTTAGGACTGTGTACGGGCCCATCCCAAGGTGACTGTAATTTTCGGACAAAGTCCTTTCCGTCGAGTCGGATTCCACAACCACACCCTTGTCTCCTTCGTGGAATCTGATGTTCAGTAGCTCTTGTGTCGTAGCGGGTCTTCATCTTCTCCGTCGCCAAGTTGACTCGCTCTCGTGCAAAGTTGTGCATCACTTCAAACCGGGCCTGGAGATCTTGAATATATTCCTCAGACGATGAAGGAGCATCCGGAGGGCGGCCAAACAATAGATCACAAGGCAGACGAAGGTCACGACCGAAGAGCATCTGTGATGGAGAATAGCCGGTAGTCTCGTGGACAGCACTGCGGTAAGCCAGTAAAAACAGTGGTAATTTCTTGTCCCAGTCCTGTTGGTTTCTGGAAACCACTAATGAGAGGTTATTAAGGATGGTTCGATTGAACCTCTCTACCATGCCGTCCGACTGGGGATGCAATGGCGTCGTTTGGGTCTTTGTCAATGCCGAGTAGTTTGCATAGTTCTTTGATTACTACCGAGGGTAAAATTCCTTCCCTGATCGGAATGTAACTGAAGAGGCACTCCGAACCTGGAAATCCAGTGCTGTATCATCACCTCAGCTTACTGTAACAGCCTCTTGATCAGGAATAGGATAAGCTTCAGGCCACTTGGTGAAGTAATCAACGACAACGAGTATGTATTTGTTGCCATCAGCAGTTCGTGGCAGAGGTCCCAGGATGTCAAAGGCGATACGTTCAAAAGGCGCCCCTACGTTGTAACGTTGCAGCTTGCCTCGGCTGCGTCTCCTCGGTCCTTTCCGACCTGCACAGGCATCGCAAGATCGGCACCAACTTTTGCACGTCATCCTTTGCATTATTCCAGTAAAAGCGCTCACGAACTCTCTGTAAGGTCTTCATTATTCCAAAGTGACCTCCCGTAGGGCTGTTATGTAGTTCTTTAAGGACATCAGGAATGCGGGATCTTGGAAGTATCAGCTTGCCATCGGAACGTCTTCCCATCATCCGATTCGAATTTCCGGTATAAGACGCCGTTTCGAATGTGAAGTGAATCCCAGAGTGCCCAATATTGTTTGGTTGTAGGACTACAGATAGAAATG